GGGTGGCTATGAAAGAACTAGAAAAGACTCTAAAATACAAAGATATACAATTCAGCACAAAGGTTAGAATCATGCATGCCATTGTATTCCCTATTACCATGTATGGATGTGAGATCTGGACAGTTAAGAAAGATGATAGGAAGAAAATCAATGCATTTGATATGTAGTGCTGGAGAAGAGTGCTGGGGATCCCACGGACAGCCAAAAGGACAAACAAATGGGTCCTAGAGCAGATCAAGCTGGAAACCTCCGTGGAAGCCAAGATGACCAAACTGAGGCTGTCGTACTTTGGACACATCATTGGAAAAGACAATAATGCTGGGAAAGGTGGAGGGAAGTAGGAAGAGAGGAAGACCACATGCCAAATGGATTGACTCTGTTAAAGAGGTCATGGGTATGGGGTTGCAAGAATTAAGCAGAGCAGTGAAGGACAGAGGGTCCTGGAGATGTCTCATCCATAGGGTGGCCATGAGTCGAGATCAACTTGAGGGCAGTTAACAACAACAACAACTGATAGTCAAAGCAATATAGTATTAATATGATGAGTTACCAGTATAATCAGCTGCAGCCAAGCCCTATACTCCTAAACAAAGGGATGGGTGGGAATAAGAGGATTAAAATGAATTTTGTTCAGCTCACCCCATCATGTGCCATCATGGTTCCTTGTCATGACACATTTTTATCCAAAAGCAAAAATTAGAAATTCCAGGGTAGCTTTCATCTCAGATCAACAAGAACAAAGAGTGCTGTAAGACATCCAAAGGACATGTTTCAGGTCACCTCCAAGATGCACAAAATATGCTAATGACCAAGAGGGGGAGCGGCTTAATAATGCAAGAGAATTAAACACAAGGAGAGTGAAACATCTCTCTCAGAGTATTACAAAGAGGCATCTTCAGGGTAACACAGCTGTCAGAGACAAGAAATATATAATCTAATTTCTGTTGTAACCTCAGAGCTTGGGAGGTTCCTTTATTGTGATACAAGCTACACAAGAGTTGTATCCCAGCTCCACTACAGACTACCCCTGCCCTAGTTTGACAGCTTTACTGCCACACACAACTGTTTTAATCCAACCTGAATCAGTTTGGAAAGCTACACAGGCCCTCCATCACATAGTCACATTGGTCCAAGTGTTTTTACTGTATATAGCTGAAGGTTTGTTTGGTTTTTTTAAAAAAACAACAACTGCCATCCATGTGCATATTCTTATATTCACTTAATCAAATAGCCTTTGTTTTCCATCATTTTGATTTTCACCTGCTCTTCTATAAAGTGAAGCTGATAGACCTGAAAGAAGTGAAATGCTGATTTG